TTTTTTTTTTAAAGGCTAGTCAAGTGAAGCAGTGGACGTGGAGAAGGAACAAAGGAATCTGTAACTGGTGGTGATCAATTAGTTGTAAATACCACTGCACTCAGACCAGCCAGTATCTACCTTTTATGAAGTCCTAAATGAGCTGTATGTACAGGGAATTTTTTAAAAGGCAGTTTTTATCCTCAAGAAGTTACTGTAATTACCACTAATGACAGGTTGCTAGGAACAGGATATGGTGAGATCAGACAGACATCAACTTAATCAAGTTACCCAATTTAACAGGACCAATAATGATGATGTGATGCCCTGAGAAAGACACATCCCTCCTAGCAACCCTGCTAAAAAATGTTTAATTTGAATCCAGTCATGAGGAAATACTCAGACAATTCCAAATTGAGGAACATTCTTCAAAACAACTGGCCTAGATTCTTCAAATATCAATGTCATCTGTCACAATGCCAATGTCACAAAAAGAGGCTAAGAAACTGTTCCAGAGTAAAGGAGATTAAAGAAACTTGGCAACTAAATGCACTGTGCAATTCTTCACTGGATCCAAAACTGTGGGGAAAAATCCAGCTAAAGGATATTGGGACAACTGAAGAAGTTTGAATATAGACTGTATTTTAATAATAGTTATATCGGTGCTAAGTTTCCTAGGCGTGATAATGATATTGTAGATATATAAGAGAATGTCCTTTTCCAAGAAGGCATGAAATGTCATGACTACAACTCTCTAATGGTTCAGTAAAATGTACGTGTGTGTGTGTGTGTGTGTGTGTGTGTGTGCGCAGAGAAAGCTCACGCATGTACAAAATAAATAAGGCAAATATCTAAATCAAAATGTTAACAAATGGTGACTCTAGGTGAAGGGTACACAGGTATTTGTGGTGCTCTTTTTGCAACTGTTCCAAAGGTTTGAAATTTCTCAAGCTAAAAAGTTGAGGAAAACGAAAATGTAAAACTAAAATAAACAATTCCATGAGGTTAAAAAAAAAAAAAGACAATACTATAAGATATAATTGAGGACATAAAATACATTTTCCTTCAATATTTTTTAGAGCTACTACAATCTGTCAGTTGACACATCTGTCAATTGTAAATTTAAAAGCTGTTTATCTCTACAGAGCAGGAACTGTCTGCTCTATACCTAACACTTTAATATAATATATTCACATG